ATTCACCTGGGGGACTTCAACGCCCATGTGGGAAATGCCAGTGACACTTGGAGAGGGGTGAAGGCGAAGAACGGCCCCCCTGATCTGAACCCGAGCGGTGTTCAGTTGTTGGACTTCTGTGCCAGTCACGGTTTGTCCATCACGAACACCATGTTCGAGCACAAGGGTGTCCATCAGTGCACGTGGCACCAGGACACCCTAGGCCGGAGGTCGATGATCGACTTTGTTGTCGTATCATCTGACCTTCGACCGCGTGTCTCGGACACTCGGGTAAAGAGAGGGGCGGAGCTGTCAACCGATCATCACCTGGTCGTGAGTTGGATCCGCTGGCAGGGCAGGAGGCCGGTCAGACCTGGCAGGCCCAAGCGCGTAGTGAGGGTTTGCTGGGAACGTCTTGCTGAGCCCCCTGTCAGACGGACTTTCAACTCACACCTCCGGGAGAGCTTCTCCCAGGTCCCAGAGGAGGGGGACATCGAGTCCGAGTGGACCATGTTCTCTTCCTCTATCGCCGATGCGGCGGCTCGTAGCTGTGGTCGCAAGGTCTCCGGTGCTGGTCCCGGCGGCAATCCCCGAACCCGGTGGTGGACACCGGCAGTAAGGGATGCCGTCAGGCTGAAGAAGGAGTCCTATCGAGCAATGATGGTTCGTGGGACTCCTGAGGCAGCTTTCCAGTACCGGCAGGCCAAGCGTGCCGCGGCCCGGGCTGTTGCAGAGGCAAAAACCCGGGTCTGGGAGGAGTTCGGAGAGTCCATGGAGCATGACTATCGGTCGGCCTCGAAGAGATTCTGGCAAACCGTCCGGCGCCTCAGGAAGGGGAAGCAGTTCTTTGCCAACACCATGTACGGTGCGGGTGGAGGGCTGCTGACCTCGACTGGGGATATTGTCGGGCGGTGGAAGGAATACTTTGAGGTTCTCCTCAATCCCCCCGTCACGTCCTCCGTCCAGGAGGCAGAGGCTGAGGATGTTGGGGCGGATACTTACATCTCCCTGGCCGAGGTCACCAAGGTGGTTGGCAGCCTCCTTGGTGGCAAGGCGCCGGGAGTGGATGAGATCCGTCCTGACTATCTAAAGTCTCTGGATGTTGTAGGACTGTCTTGGCTGACACGTCTCTGCAGTATCGCGTGGCGATCGGGGGCGGTACCAATGGAGTGGCAGACCGGGGTGGTGGTCCCTCTCTACAAGAAGGGGGACCGGAGGGTGTGTTCCAATTATTGTGGGATCACACTCCTCAGCCTCCCCGGTAAGGTCTACTCCAAGGTACTGGAGAGGAGGCTACGTCCGATGGTCGAATCTCGGATTCAGGAGGAGCAGTGTGGTTTTAGTCCCGGTCGCGGAACACTGGACCAGCTCTATACTCTCCATCGAATACTCGAGGGTTCATGGGCGTTTGCCCAACCTGTCCACATGTGCTTTGTGGATTTGGAGAAGGCGTTCGACCGTGTTCCCCGGGGTGTCCTTTGGGGGGTCCTCCGGGAGTACGGGGTCCGGGGTCCTCTGCTGAGGGCCGTCCGGTCCCTGTATGACCGGAGTCAGAGCTGTGTTCGCATTGCCGGCAGTAAGTCAGACCTGTTCCCGGTGCATGTTGGCCTCCGCCAAGGCTGCCCTTTGTCACCGGTTCTGTTCACTGTATTCATGGACAGAATTTCTAGGCGCAGCCAGGGGTCGGAGGGGGTCCGGTTCGGGAACCACAGGATTTCATCTCTGCTGTTTGCGGATGATGTTGTCCTGTTGGCTCCAACGAACCAGGACCTGCAGCATGCACTGGGGCGGTTTGCAGCCGAGTGCGAAGCGGCTGGGATGAGAATCAGCACCTCCAAATCCGAGGCCATGGTGGTCGACCGGAAAAAGGTGCCTTGCCCTCTACAGGTGGGTGGAGAGGCCCTTCCTCAAGTGGAGGAGTTCAAGCATCTCGAGGTCTTGTTCACGAGTGAGGGGAGGATGGAGCGTGAGATTGACAGGCGGATCGGTGCAGCGTGCGCAGTGATGCGGTCGCTGTATTGGACCGTTGTGGTAAAGAGGGAGCAGCGTCTGCAGTCAGAGCTGTATCAGACCGTTGTGGTAAAGATTTACCGGTCAATCTTCGTTCCCTCCCTCACCTATGGTCATGAGCTGTGGGTAATGACCGAAAGAACGAGATCGCGGATACAAGCGGTCGAAATGAGCTTCCTCCGCAGAGTGGCTGGGCGCTCCCTTAGAGATAGGGTGAGGAGCTCGGTCACACGGGAGGAGCTCGGAGTAGAGCCGCTGCTTCTCCACGTCGAGAGGAACCAGTTGAGGTGGCTCGGGCATCTGTTCAGGATGCCTCCTGGACGCCTTCCTGGGGAGGTGTTCCGGGCACGTCCCACCGGGAGGAGGCCCCGGGGAAGACCCAGGACACGCTGGAGGGACTATGTCTCTCAGCTGGCCTGGGAACGCCTTGGGGTCCCCCCGGACGAGCTGGAGGAGGTGTGTGTGGATAGGGAAGTCTGGGCGTCTCTGCTTAGACTGCTGCCCCCGCGACCCGGCAACGGATAAAGCGGAAGAAAATGGATGGATGGATGGATGGATGGATGGGTTTTATTTTGACAGTTGCTTCATGCCCTGTTCCCTGTTGATTGTCTGCCCCGCCTTGATGTGTTTCACCTGTGTCTGTGTGTGTCTATATGTACCCTGTGCTTCTCTCCCCTTGTTGCTGGTTCATTGTCTTGTTCTTGTCTTGTTCATGTCCTGTTCTGGTTTCTTTGGATTTTCGAGTTTATTTTTATGCCTTGGACTTTGTTTTATTAAAACCTTTATTTTTGCATTCCTGCGTTTGAGTCTTCCATCATCTTTCACCACGTGACATCCTGGTTCTAGTCAGGACTAATGTGGTCGTACTTCCTGGTTCTAGTCAGGACTAATGTGGTCGTACTTCCTGGTTCTAGTCAGGACTAATGTGGTCGTACTTCCTGGTTCTAGTCAGGACTAATGTGGTCGTACTTCCTGGTTCTAGTCAGGACTAATGTGGTCGTACTTCCTGGTTCTAGTCAGGACTAATATGGTCGTACTTCCTGGTTCTAGTCAGGACTCGAGCTGCTGCATTTTGAATGTACTGCAGCTGTTTTACAGCCTGTTTGGACAGACCTGTGAGCAGGCCATTCAGATTCAGATTCAGATTCAGTTTATTTGCCATTTGCAGTAAAAACACATTGGAACACATTAGCGAAAAGTCTCCAGTGTGCACAGACAAATACAGACATAAAACAACATTAAAAGACAAAAATAAAACAAATAAAACAGTAAACAAATGTCACTGTGAAATCGATCGACTAAAACAGTTCAAAACAAGTGCAAACATTAAAGTGCTCTGTTCACACTGATAACAGCCTGTGGATAAAAACTGTTAGCGTAACGAGATGTCCTGCATCTCAGAGAGTGATATCTTCTGCCAGAGGGAAGAAGCTGGAACATGGCTTTCCCAGGGTGGCCAGGAGAGTCATTGACAATCCTAAGAGCTTTGTTTAAAAGTCTGGATTTATAAAGAACCTCCAGAACAGGAAGCTCACAACCCACGGTCCTCTTTGCAGAGCGGAGCACCTTGTTTAAAGCTCTCTTTTCTTTATCTGTGATGTTTCCAAACCACACAGACACAGAACCAACAAGTAAACTCTCAATGGTGCAGCCATAAAAGTTAAGCACAATCTTAGAGTTAGTGGTAAATTCTCTAAGTTTACGCAGAAAGTCTAACCTACTGGAGACAAATGCATGGATAAGAATCTCCAAGTCTGCTTTAGACACTATGTTTTTGATCCTGGCAATGTTTTTTAGATGGTAAAAAGCTGCTGATGTTACTGATTTGATGTGGCTATTATAATTTAAGTCTGAGTCCAGTATCACCCCTAGATTTCTGACCTTGTTTGAAGGTTTTAGGGAGAGAGACTGTAGATGACAGATGACGCTCTCTCTTTGTTTCTGGGGACCAAAGACAATCATTTCAGTTTTGTCTGCGTTTAGCTGAAGGAAGTTGTTTTGCATCCACTCACTGATCTGTTGGATACAGTGAAGGAGTGAGTCCACTGGTCCATGTTCTCCTGCAGTCAGTGAGACATAGATCTGAGTGTCGTCTGCATAGTTATGATAGGAAACTTTGTTTCTGCGTATTAACTGACCTAACGGCAGCATGTAGAGATTGAACAGAAGAGGTCCCAGGATCGACCCCTGTGGGACTCCACAGGTCAGGGCCATATGATCTGAGACACAGTTTCCAATCTCCACAAAGTACTTCCTGTCTTCAAGGTAAGACCTAAACCAACTTAGGGCGGTGCCAGCGACGCCAACCCAGTCCTCTAGTCTCTGTAAGAGGATCTCATGGTCGACGGTGTCAAAGGCAGCACTTAGATCTAACAAGATTAAGATTGAGACTTTGCCTGCGTTAGTGTTCAGCCGGATATCGTTTGTAACCTTAACGAGAGCAGTCTCAGTGCTGTGGTGGGGTCTAAAGCCGGACTGAAACATATCAAATGAGTTGTTGATTATAAGAAATCTAGTAAGCTGTAGGTAGACAACTTTCTCAAGGACTTTACCCTCCAGGCCCTCTCCAGCTCCTCTCTGAGACCTTGGTATTTCTCAAGCTTTTCGTGTTCTTTTTTCCTGATGTTGCCATCGCTTCGAATTGCCACGTCCACCACCACGGCTGTCCTCTGCCCTTTGTCTACCACCACGCTGCTGAGAAGATGGCGCCAGCAGTGTGCACGGCGCAGCATCTCTCTGTTCTGATTTGGTTACTGTTTGCACAGATTGCCAATTTAAGTTATCAAAGTGTTTCAGCACTGCTTGTTTATGATCGCCAGTCGTTATTTTCTATCCGTGACCAACACGAGTTGTTTCTAAAGCAAAATTATGGAAACCGATCCTCGGGTGGCCTTCCCCCCCCTCTCTCCTTGGCTCTGCCCCCGTACCTGCACCGCTCCTGTGCTCTCCCAAGGAAGCGCCACAGGAAACGGGGAAAGAGAGGTGGCACTGCCGTAAGAGTAAGAGCCTACCTTCGCTCCCAGCGCGGGCGTGCTCCTCCAGTACAGTTCGGCGATGTCCACCAGGATGTCTGCCCTTTCCCGGACCGTTTGTGGCGGTGGATTCTCCCGGTTCATCCCGACAATACCGTGGATGGATACGTAACAGAGGAGTACTATATCCACCGGCTTCCCAGACCCACAGAGCGCCGCGCTGTCCCAGCTAACCTGCGCTCGTTAGCTCGGGCCCAGCCTTGTGAGGATAATCCAACTCTTCAGCTGGCCCTGTTCAATGTTAGATCCCTGGCGAACAAGACTTTTGTATTGAATGACTTCTTCACAAACCGGGATTTGGACTGTATGCTTCTGACTGAAACCTGGCTTCGACCTGGTGAGTGTATCGCTTTCTCAGAACTTCTCCCTCCAGCATGCTCCTTCTTTAGCTCCCCTCGCACAACAGGGAAAGGCGGAGGATTAGCTACTGTTTTTAAAAACAATCTGAACTGTCGGAAGCTCCCCTGTGCGCAATTTGAAAGTTTTGAATTGCAGCTCTTTGAGCTAAGACTGAATGCACTGATCCTGTGCGCACTAATATATCGCCCGCCTAAGTCCAACAAGGATTTTATAAAGGAATTTTCGAGCCTTGTGGCGGACATCGCTCTGAAATGGGACTATTTTATACTCGCTGGTGATTTTAATGTTCATGTTTGTTGCGAATCAAAACCTCTAGTCAAGGAATTTCTGAACATTCTCGACTCTTTTAGCTTGACTCAGTCTATAAATGTTCCGACCCACAATAAGGGGCACATTTTAGACCTGGTATTGTCTCACGGGCTAAATGTGAATGTCAGAGACATATGTGACTTGGGGATCTCTGATCATATGCCTGTGTTGTTTTCAATTTCGATGTCTTGCCCAAAAGCAAATGCATGCGTTCCCGTGAGCAAGCGGCGTATTTGCTCTACTACGGCTCCTCTTTTTTCCGCAGCTTTTAATGCCTCGCCTCTGAGCGCTTCCGTAACCAACTTGGAAATTAATGACATGGTTAGCCTCCTTGATTCCACTTGCACCGAGATTCTTGACTCTATTGCGCCTTTTACGCACATGCGCTCAAAGCCTGGAGAGCCGTGGCACAATGCCACAACGCGTGCTCTTCGCTGTGAATGTCGCCGCGCGGAGAGAAAATGGAAAAAAGACCGACTTCATGTGTCCCTGGGAATTTTAAAAGACTCTCTTAAAAACTACCAAAGAGCTGTAAAATCAGCAAAGACCAACTACATGTCCAACCTTGTTACCAAAAACTGTAACGACCCCAAAGTTCTCTTTAATGTGTTAAACAGTATTGTAAACCCAGTTGAACACACTGGTGTTTCCCCATCTGTTTCTTTGTGCGACCAATTCTGTACATTTTTCAAAGAGAAAGTGTCTTCTTTGCGCTCTTCAACCTCATGTGCTGTAGTGGATCCCCAGTCTTGTCTCTCCTTGCTCAGCTGTTTTTGCAGACTTTGAGCCCATCTCTCTGTCTGAATTACTGCAGACTGTTCAAACACTTAAAGTGTCTAACTGTCCTTTAGATACCCTGCCTGCGAGAATGTTTAAAGATGTTTTAGATTCTGTTGGTCCTTGTATTTTAATCCTGATCAATCAGTCACTCGAAGAGGGCTGTGTCCCAGCTGCCTTTAAACAGGCCATTGTGCAGCCTTTGCTAAAAAAGCACAATTTGGACCCATCTGTCTTGTCCAATTTTAGGCCTATTTCTAAACTGCCTTTTCTATCCAAGGTTCTAGAAAAGGTAGTTCTTAACCAGCTCCAGTCGCATCTTAAATCAAATGATATTTTTGAAAAATTTCAATCTGGGTTTAAATCCTTGCACAGCACAGAAACTGCACTGTTGAAAATTTTTAATGATCTTCTTTTAATCTCTGACTCCGGAAGCCCCTCGGTGTTAGTGCTTCTAGATCTGACAGCAGCATTCGACACTGTCGATCATAACATTCTTATCTCCCGCCTTGAGTCCTGTGCTGGAATTAAAGGCACAGCACTCAAGTGGTTCCACTCGTACCTGTCCGATCGGGTGTTTTCTGTAAATCTCGGCTCTTGCAGCTCAAAGAAAGCCTCCCTTGACAGTGGTGTACCGCAAGGTTCCGTTTTAGGACCAGTTTTATTTTCACTGTACATGTTGCCCTTAGGCTCGATATTCAAAAAGCATAACATTTCATTTCACTGCTTTGCTGATGATGTTCAAATCTATTTGCCTTTGAATGTGAATTCCGATTCCGTCCAAGCACTGCAGAAATGTCTTGACGATGTAAAAAACTGGATGTCAATCAATTTTTTAAACCTGAATCAGACAAAAACAGAAATTGTACTGTTTGGTGAACCTGATCCGTCTGTTTTCAACGGTGTGTCTAGCCTGTCTTCCTACTGCCGCCCACTTGCAAAAAACCTTGGTGTGTATTTTGATGGTGCTTTTAAAATGGACAAACAAATAAGTTCAGTTGTCAAAGCCAGCTTCTTCCAGCTGAGACTGTTGACCAAAGTTAAAGGCTATCTTCCACCAAATGACCTTGAGAAGGTTGTCCACGCCCTCATATCCACACGGCTGGACTATTGTAACTCTTTATACTATGGCCTTGACCTGTCCTCAGTCCACAGACTGCAGCTGGTACAGAATGCAGCAGCTCGGATGCTGACTGGCACCAGACGACACGAGCACATCACTCCTGTGCTGTCGTCTCTACATTGGCTTCCTGTCGCTTTTAGAATTAAGTTTAAAATGTTATTGTTAGTATTTAAATCTCTGCATGACCTGGCTCCGTCATATCTGACTGACTTGCTTACTTTGCACACCCCGGGAAGAGCACTGAGGTCCTCTGACCAGCTTCTTCTGCACTGTCCCAGGTCTAGATTAAAAACCAGAGGAGACCGAGCCTTTGCTGTGGCAGGGCCTAAACTCTGGAACGCTCTCCCTTACTCCATCAGAGCTGCCCCCTCTGTAGAGAGTTTTAAATCGCAGCTAAAGACACATTTCTTTGCTTTGGCTTTTTAACACAAGCAATGTTGAAACATTTATGATGGTGTCCTGCATTTTATTTTATGCTGAATGTTATTTGTGTCTTGTATTTTTACAATGTCTGGTAAGCACTTTGTGACAGTCCTGTCTGTTTTTAAAATGTGCTATATAAATAAACTTGACCTTGACCTTGACCTTGACCATATATATATATATATATATATATATATATATATACAATGCCCTTGCGAAAGTATTCGGCCCCCTTGAACCTTTCAACATTTCGCCACATTTCAGGCTTCAAACATAAAGATATAACATTTTAATTTTTTGTCATGAATCAACAACAAGTGGGACACAATCGTGAAGTGGAACAAAATTTATTGGATAATTTAAACTTTTTTAACAAATAAAAAACTGAAAAGTGGGGCGTGCAATATTATTGGGCCCCTTTACTTTCAGTGCAGCAAACTCAGTCCAGAAGTTCAGTGAGGATCTTTGAATGATCCAATGTTGTCCTAAATGACTGATGATGATAAATAGAATGCACCTGTGTGTAATCAAGTCTCCGTATAAATGCACCTGCTCTTTGATAGTCTCAGGGTTCTGTTTAAAGCACAGAGAGAACCATGAAGACAAAGGAACACACCAGGCAGGTCCGAGATACTGTTGTGGAGAAGTTTAAAGCCGGATTTGGATACAAAAAGATTTCCCAAGCTTTAAACATCTCAAGGAGCACTGTGCAAGCAATTATATTGAAATGGAAGGAGTATCAGACCACTGCAAATCTACCAAGACCCGGCCGTCCCTCCAAACTTTCATCTCAAACAAGGAGAAGATTGATCAGAGATGCACCCAAGAGGCCCATGATCACTCTGGAGGAACTGCAGATAACTACAGCTGAGGTGGGAGAGTCTGTCCATAGGACAACAATCAGTCGTGCACTGCACAAATCTGGCCTTTATGGAAGAGTGGCAAGAAGAAAGCCATTTCTCAAAGATATCCATAAAAAGTCTGGTTTAAAGTTTGCCACAAGCCACCTGGGAGACACAAACATGTGGAAGAAGGTGCTCTGGTCAGATGAAACCAAAATCGAACTTTTTGGCCACAATGCAAAACGATATGTTTGGCGTAAAAGCAACACAGCTCCTCACCCTGAACACACCATCCCCACTGTCAAACATGGTGGTGGCAGCATCATGCTTTGGGCCTGCTTTTCTTCAGCAGGGACAGGGAAGATGGCTAAAATTGATGGGAAGATGGATGGAGCCAAATACAGGACCATTCTGGAAGAAAACCTGTTGGAGTCTGCAAAAGACCTGAGACTGGGACGGAGATTTATCTTCCAACAGGACAATGATCCAAAACATAAAGCCAAATCTACAATGGAATGGTTCACAAATAGACGTATCCAGGTGTTAGAATGGCCAAGTCAAAGTCCAGACCTGAATCCAATCGAGAATCTATGGAAAGAGCTGAAGACTGCTGTTCACAAACACTCTCCATCCAACCTCACTGAGCTCCAGCTGTTTTGCAAGGAAGAATGGGCAAGAATTCCAGTCTCTCGATGTGCAAAACTGATAGAGACATACCCCAAGCGACTTGCAGCTGTAATTGCAGCAAAAGGTGGCGCTACAAAGTATTAGCGCAAGGGGCCGAATAATATTGCACGTCCCACTTTTCAGTTTTTTATTTGTTAAAAAAGTTTAAATTATCCAATAAATGTCGTTCCACTTCACGATTGTGTCCCACTTGTTGTTGATTCATGACACAAAAAATAATTTTTATATCTTTATGTTTGAAGCCTGAAATGTGGCGAAATGTTGAAAGGTTCAAGGGGGTTGAATACTTTCGCAAGGCACTGTACATCAGGAATCTGGACTGAACGTTTAGTTCTGGATCATTGCAGTCGCGCAGCTGGCTCTTTAGTATCATATTTATTTGAATCTATATTCACTTTTATTTTTGCTCCCTTCTCACACACACACACTCGCACCTGCAGGTACATACACATTCAAACGCACACACACACAAAGCGTGCATGCGCACACACACCCACACACTGTTAATCATTAACGTGTGGCAGACGTCCGGGAGGTCAGTGGCGCGACTGTCCTCTCCTCTC